CCGGTCTCTCAATTCCTCGGAAAGACGAATACGAGGTGGGCGTCCCCTCTGGAACCTCGGGAGGTCAAACACCAAACCCGACCAGCAGATAGGTGGTAGATTGACACACAAAGCAAGTGTGCTGCTGGACTCATCTTTATACCCCTGGGGGCCCGTATTCTCTTTCTTATCTTAAGAGGCCAAATTTTACTGGTCCGTTTTGTGGTGCCAGTTCTTACAAGCAGGTTACAAGTTAACTTACACTTGTAAGAGAGAAAGATAACTAAATTAGGAGTGCCGGATGTTCTTTGTGGGCGGGAGATTCCTCCCCCCGCGGACGGTTGTGTGTTCGTATCAATATGGGTTAAGTCAAGGGCATGATGTACAGCCTCTTGGTCAACAATTAGTTTGACCACCCTCCTATCTCTGCTTACAGTTGGTCAAGGCCACTGAGCCAGCATATCTAAACCTCCTGCTCTAAGGTTTTCAAAAAATATGCTGTTTTCCTGTTCTGATGTGCCCTGCATGGTTTCAAGCAGACAAAGATGGATGTTAAAATAGAGGTTCACGTCTGGCTACAGTGAGGTGCAAATCTGCTGTGTCAAAACTGGGTTCATCTGAAAACTGTGACAGGGCGTTTGCCCCACACTGGCCCTACAATGAAGGTTTTTAGAGGTTTGAATACATTTGTTGGGGTTGGTAGAGTGAAATCTTCAAATGTTGGTATCTGCATAAAAGTCTGTGACTTAATATCGTCATTTACAATTATTCTTAAAATCAGTAACTATCCTTTTTTGTTTCAGAGATGGCTCTGCTGTGGAAATTGTTGGCCTGTGTAAATCAGCTGTTCGTTGGCTGCTGGAGTTATCAAAGAAAAATGTGTTTCCTTATCAGGGAGTCACCATAAAAAGACAGGGTAAGCAGGCTTACCTCACAAACATGTGATCAATATACAACTATTATTGAATCCGTGGACCATGCAACACCTAGGATAACATTTTCAAAGCATTATACAAGATTTTAGGGGGAAAGCTTCTGTGTGAATTTGACATTTGATTAATATATGTTAAAAGTCAATCTTGTCTTTCAATCAGTCTGCCCTGTGAACATCTCTCTCTATACAAAGAAAATTTTTCCTGTGGGACTCTGTCCCCCACAGCCCCTCCCCACCTCAGCCGCCCAACCTCCTCCCCACTCCCCGCTGCTAACCCAGCAGAGATCAGCATCCTATGGCTCCTGAGCAGCACCAACACTGAAGATAAGCTGCTGCTATTTCTGGTCAACTTGAGGGGGGGGAAGGAGGAGGAGAAAAATTGCAGTGCTCCTGCTGTGGGGGGGAGGCCAGTGGAGAGGCCCACTGTGGGGGGAGGAGAGGAAGCTTGGGAGGAGAGGGGCTGCCAGATAGCTCTACTATGGAATGCCCCCCATTGTGGGCCTCACGGTTGCCTTTCTCCCTGCCAGAGCATCTCACTTAAAAACTCCAGCAGCTGCCATGTAGTGGATGGTTATCAGAGGTTTAAATTGCAGCCCTCCAGACTGGGTCCCACCTCTCTCCCTTCTGGCTGCTGGTGGGGAGAGTGGGGCTCCGCGAGGGAACTGGGCCCTTTCCCCTTCCCTCTGAGGTCAGGGGAGAGTGTGAGGCTTGCATAATACTTTTTTGTTGGTAGAGTATATAACCAAACCTCACTATCCTAGCTTTGTGCTTCAGTAGGGTATCAATACGGCTATGAATTCGCTTGCTAATTTGAGATGACTGAAAGGAGTTAAGACTTCTCTAAGAGTTAGGTGAAAAGTTAATTTTTAGCTGTTTGTACTGTGTGGTCTTCTTGTGATAGTTTCTGGGGAGAATTCATTACATATTACTGAGACTAAATATACAAGCCATTAAAAACTTAACAAAATAATAATTAACCTTGAGAAGCTACTGTATTAACTGTTCTTTTGTGCAGTATTACAATATACTGATAGCTGTGTTTTCTGTATCTCTAGTCCTAGATATTTCAGCTTTTATTTAACCATAGAGTTGATTACTCATTTTTCTTCTAAATTTCTTTTAACCTATGGCATGAGTGGGATTGTTTATGGTTCAGTAATTGACAAAAATTACATACAGTTTTGATCTCTGTCTACAGCTTCTCCCCTGATTTGCTGTCTCAGGTACCTCACACAGCTGTGTACTCAGAGCTCAGTTTGTTTTATTTACAACAGAGAGGCACATAAATTCTTCTTCGGGTAGTCCCCGTGAGTGCTCCACGTCTGGTGTCGGGCTGGTCCCGGCGCCGCAAATCGGAGCTTTACAGAGCTGTGTGGCCGGACCACGCGCGTGCACTCTGGTTTCGCGCCTTTCATCTGCCTCGCGCGGTCCGGCTCCCGCCAGTTCTTCTCATCCGCCTTGGGACGCAGACGGAGCTCCCCACTTTCTCCTCAGAGTTTCCCCCTTTTTCCCTTCAGTCGCTTGCCTGTGGGGAAAGTTCATAACTTTAAAAGCTATAAAATATAAAGCGCGTTCAGCCCCGCTTGCAGGCGCGGTTAAAAAAAAAAAAAGAACCTAAACCGAGAGAGAGCAGTGCTATTTCATATAATGTTTGCGGTTTTTTTTCTGTTAGCTGCTCTGGTTACTTTCTTTCTTTCTTTCTTCCTTTTTTTTTTTTTTTTTTTTTAAGTAAGAGAGAGGACAAAGCCAAAGAAACTGGGGACGCACACAAGCGGCAGCACTTAGCCGGCGCGAACGCTCAGTCCCTCAGAACTCAAAATGCCGGGCTCCCCCGGCTTCAAAAAGTGTGTGAGTTGTGCTGAGCCAATGCCGGTATCGGACGGGCACTCGGCTTGTATCCGCTGCCTTGGGGAGGCACATATCCCCCAAAAGTGCACCCACTGTGCCAGCCTAACGACCAGAGCCCGCAAGGAGCGGGAACGTCGTTTAAAAGAGATCCTGTTTGATAAGGCTCTCATGCCTTCCACTGCCTCAGGATCCTCTGCCTCAGACCCCACGGCTGAAAAGCGGAAGGCTCCTTCTGAGGCTATGCCCTCATCAAAAAAGAGGAAAGCCTCCCCCGCTCATTCCATGCCAGCTGCTCCGCAATCGCGGGTAAGCGCAGGTGACAAGCCGGGTACTTCTCGTTCGAGGGTAACCCGTGCTCCGTCAGTAAACAAGCCAGCCGGCACTTCGGAATCTCGACAGCCCCCGGCACAGGAACCTCACCCGGCACCGGAGCTTCTTAAAGAGCCAGACGCAGTGGCATCAGCTTTATCAGTGCCGGGTGCTGAAGTGCCTTCAATCACGGCCCCTCCCAGGGAGCTGTCCTCGGCACGGGCAGGGGATCAGCGTACTCCTGCCCAGATGCCTGCTTCACAGCCTTTAACCCTTCACTCTCCAGGCTCTGCACAGCCTGCAGCAACAACAGAAAAATCAAATACCCAGGGAATCTCCCTGCGTACCTCGCCAAGGTCGTATCACGAACCATCTCCTCACCGCTGTGCTTCTATGCACCACACAAGAGATCATAGGCATTATTATCACCGCAGTCTCTCATCTCGTCACTATTATGACAGAGAGCGTAGCTGTTCACACCAGAGATATTCTAGATCTCCTTCTCCTGCAAGACGCTCACGCTCACCAACTCATTCACCAAGAAGCACCTATTATGTCAGGTATGACAGTGCTAGATCTTCTAGACGCTTGTCCCCTGCAAGGTCTGACCGGCGTTATACGCATCGTTATAGACCGGACTATGTTGAGTCATCTCATCCCAGTCACTCTCGATCTCATCGCAGGTCTCTATGTTCCTGTAGGTCAATTAGCCCATGCTCTGTGCATTCAGAGATCTCCAAACATTCTCCGCTACGACGCACAATACCTTCTCGTTCCCCGACGCATTGATCACAAATGTCAGATCAAGAGGAAGGGCAACTCTCGGAAGCTCACCCGGACATGTCCCCTAATACCGGTTCACCACAGCCCTCTAGGGATGACCCGCTATCCCTGGGCGAGAAGTCACCTCCGGACGATCTTAAAGAATTCCAAGACCTGTTTAAACATGTAGCGCAATCTCAGGAGGTGCAACTCACTGAGTCTCAAGCTAAGCAGCATAAGTTATTTAAGAATTTACACCCTAAACAACAAAGAAAGATTGCACTCCCGATAGATGACGCCATCTTGGAAGTGGCACAGGACATCTGGCAGACGCCAACATCAATACCGCCCACCAATAAGAAAATTGATAAAGTATTTTGTCTCATCCAAAGGCCTGGATTTTCTTTTCAATCACCCCCAGCCGAATTCCCTGATAGTGGATGCAGTTCACCACTAGAGCAAGATGCCCCAATTTAAGAATTCCCTACCAGATAGGGATACAAAGAAATTGGATCATTTTGGTCGGAAAGTTTACTCCTCCTCAACCTTGCTACTGCGGGTTGCCAATTATGCTGCTCTTTTGTCAGACCATAACTTTGACAATTACTCCAAGTTACCGGAACTTATGCAACATCTCCCTGACAGTAAGAAGTCTCTCCTTAAATCCGTTGTCCAGGAAGGTTTCACTGCATGTAGAACAGCTCTTCAGATTGCCGCGGACGTTGCCGACACAGCGGCAACAGGCATCGCGATGAGAAGAGCTTCCTGGTTATTGTCAGCGGGAGCCCCTAAGGAGTTGAACTCCAAAGTGGAAGATTTACCCATTGACTGCCAAAAGCTGTTTGCTTCTACTACCGATGAGGTCCTCCATTCTGGCAAGGACTCTCGTATGACTCTCCGATCTCTAGGGATGTACACGTCACCTTTTAAACGCAGGAGCAGCAGCAGCAGCAACAGCAACAGCAGCGTGGATCCGACCAGCCTAGATTTAGACAGCGCCCTCAACGTAAACGTCAACAAGAGAATCGCTCTGCTGCTCGGCCTTCCCAGAAGCAGCAGGTTTGACTCCTGTGCGGAGGACTCAAACACATCTCCACCAGTCAACACACTAAAGCCTGCAACCACCACCACCACCTTATTCCACCACCGCCTGAGGCCATTTCTTCATCGATGGGCCACTATTACCTCAGACCGATGGGTCCTAAGTCCACTCAACCTGCGGCAAAGCAGCAAATTTGACTTCTCCGTCGAGAATGCAAACACAACTCCCACGTTCAACAACGTATGACAAAACTCTGTCCAGTCCTTTCACCATTGGCTGAAGCCATACCATCATCATTGGTCCAATATCACCTCGGACAAGTGGGTACTGGAAGTAGTACAATCTGGTCTCTCCATTCCCTTTCTCACCATTTCCCCCAACTACCTCATCTACCCCATCCCTTTTCAGGGACCCCTCTCATGAGCAACTGTTAAAACAAGAAGTTAAGCGCCTTCTGAACTTCGGTGTGATAGAGCCAAGACAGTTTTGGGGGAAAGGATTTTATTCTCGATACTTCCTCACCCCAAAAAAGACAGGAGGATGGAGACCCATTTTGGACCTATGCAAGCTAAATCACTACCTCCGGAAACATCGATTCAAGATGGTGACTTTAAATACTGTCATTCCATCGTTGAACAAGGGAGACTGGTTTGCAGTTCTCGACTTGCAGGATGCCTACTTCCACATAGCAATCCATGTGGCACACAGGTGTTTCCTCTGCTTCTAACTAGGGGAAGATCATTTTCAGTACAGAGTTCTGCCTTTCGGGTTGGCATGCACACCCAGAGTCTTCACCAAAACCCTAGCGGTAGTGGCTGCCCATCTTCGAAGGATAGGAGTCTCTATCTTCCCCTACCTCGACGATTGCCTCGTCAAGGGACGCACCCAGTCAGAGGCACATCACATGGTAGTCGCAACTCAGGAGTTGTTCGACTCCCTCGGCCTTATCGTGAACACTCAAAAATCACGCCCACTACCAACACAGATTTTAAACTTCATAGGAGCGAGTCTCGACTCCCAAGGAGCACGTCTCGACTCCCAGTTAGAGAGAGTCCATCTGCCACTCGAGCATTTTCAATTAATACAAGACCTGATAAAAACAGTCTTGCAAGCTCCAATGCTCCCGGTACGTGTATATCTCCAGCTTCTGGGTCATATGGCTTCCACGACAATCATAGTGCGCCACGCAAGGCTACACCTCAGGTGTCTGCAGCATTGGCTGAGGATGGTGTACAAGCCTATAGAGCACAGCATCCGCAAGACTGTGGTACTTCAGTACATGTCAAGGACTCCCTATTATGGTGGACGAATCACAACAACATGTTGTCAGGAGTCCCCTTCCACGCACCGCAACTGTCACGAGAGAGAACCACAGACGCTTCTCTCATCGGCTGGGGTGCCCACATGGGCACAAAAACAGTTCAGGGTCGTTGGTCCACGACGGAGATAATGCTCCATATCAGTCTTCTCGAGCTTCGGGCCGTGTTTCATGCCTGCAAACACTTCAAGGTATACATGAGAGGTACTGTCACCAGAATTCTCACGGACAATGTAGTGGCAATGTACTACATAAACAGACAGGGGGGTGCCCGATCCCGTTCACTTTGCGCAGAGGCGATCCGCCTCTGGAAATGGTGCATTCGAAACAACATCTCTATAGTCGCGTCATACTTACCGGGTGTGAGCAATACCACAGCGGATGCACTGAGCAGGTATTTCCCCCAGGACCACGAGTGGGTGATCCGCACAGATGTCATCTTAACTCTCTTCCATCAGTGGGGGTTTCCGGTGATAGATCTCTTCGCAACACATGCCAACGCGAAATGCACAGCTTACTGTTCCAGAGCGGGAGTGGGACCTCACTCTCTGGGAGACGCATTCCTCCTTCACTGGGGCACATCACTCTTGTATGCATTCCCCCCTGTTGTACTCATTCCCAGAGTACTCGAGAAGATTGTGATGGACAGGGCCCGAGTGATACTTATAGCCCCAGCATGGCCCAGGCAGCCATGGTACTCGACCCTTCGGCAGCTCTCTGTACGAGCACCGCGCCGACTACCTTGCCTACCGGACTTGCTGACACAACAGAGAGGCTCCCTGCGTCACCCGAAGCTGGATACTCTGCACCTCACTGCATGGATGGTACATGGTTCAGCGAGTCCGAGAATCTTTGTTCGGACCAGGTGAAGCGTGTTCTCCTGCACAGCAGGAGGGACTCCACCAGGAAAACTTATCTGTCAAAGTGGTCGAGATTCGTGTGTTGGTGTGCTCCTAAGCTTCTAGACTCCTTGGTTTCACCAATGCATGTCTTACTGAACTATGTCCTCCAGCTACAGTCAACTGGACTCTCCATTTCATCACTTAAAGTCCATGTAGCGGCGATAGCTGCTTTTCACTACCCCGTTGAAGGCAAGTCGGTTTTTTCTCACCCCATGATGACTAGATTTCTCAAAGGATTGGCTAACCTCAACCCACCACGTAGGCCTCCGCCACCTGCATGGAGTCTTGACCTGGTGCTTGATGTCCTAACTAGGCCACCGTTTGAACCGTTGGCCATGGTACCACTACCGATGCTTACAATGAAGGTACTCTTTCTTCTGGCCATAACATCAGCACGTAGGGTGAGCAAATTATCTGCACTAATGTCAACACCTCCCTATACAGTCTTCAACGCGGAATCAGTGATATTGAGATCTCATCCAGCCTTTCTACCCAAAGTCTGCACAGATTTTCATATAGACGAACCAATTGTTCTGCCATGTTTCTATCCAAAACCTCATACCTCTCAGCGTGACGCTCTCCTGCATACACTCGATGTTCGTAGAGCCTTGGCTTTCTATATAGACAGAACCCATACTCTACGTAGGACGGATCGCCTCTTCATCTCGACATCAGGGCCTTCTATGGGCAAGTTCTTATCCGCCCAGCACATTTCTAAACTGGTTGCCTCTTGTATCATGACTTGCTATACTATCTGTAAGAAGTCTCTCACGTCGCAGCCTAGGGCTCACTCAACACGAGCAGTTGCTGCGTCTACAGCTTTCGTGAAAGGAGTCCTTCTTCGGGACATCTGCCAGGCGGCGACTTGGTCTTCTACTTCCACCTTTTCAAGACATTATGCAATTGTTCAGCATTTCACCTCTGACTCAGCAGTAGCCTTGGCAGTGCTGCCTGCTGCTCAGAATACCGATTCCGAAACACATGTTTAACTGAGATTACTGCTTCGGAGTCACCAGACGTGGAGCACCCACGGGGACTACCCGAAGAAGAAAAGGAAGTTACTCACTTCATGCAGTAACGATCGTTCTTCGAGGTGTGTCCCCGTGGGTGCTCCACGTCTGGTGTCGGGCTGGTCCCGGCGCCGCAAATCGGAGCTTTACAGAGTTCATCTGCCGCGCGCGGTCCGGCCCCCCCCATTCCTCCCCCCTGCCTATCTGAAAGACAGAAAGACAAGATTCCGAAGCAGGGAGGAGGGCGGGTCGTGGAGCACCCACGGGGACACACCTCGAAGAACGATCGTTACTGCACGAAGTGAGTAACTTCCTTTTACTTAAATCATTGGCACAACCTTAAAGTGTATATTCAGCTCCTGATAACCTACAGACTTATTTTAAAATCAGCATTTAATTTCCATCCACAGTCTCTGGGTTTTCTATTTATTTAATTTGCTATGGACTTCTTTAAATTGCGTACAACTTAGATTCCATCTGCAACATTTTTATTTTTGTAGTACTAACATGGCTTCAGTTGCCCTTCCATTTTTTTTTCTTTTTTTGGCTGATTTCTTGAGAGTAAAAGAAATCTTCTACACCGCACCCAACTGTATACCTGACAACCTTTTAATAAATCACATCGGTGGGGAGGAGGGGGTTTATTGGTGTTACATACCTGTGTTCACCCAAAAACTTGAGCCTCCCTTTTGGATTTATTTTTGGAATGGTTCTTAAATAAGCAATAGTTTTGCAAGTGATTGACTGCAGTACACTTAGTAAAAGATCAGATATTAAGTGAGATTTTTCAGGCTTAAGTCAGAACAGAATTTAAATAAAAGTAGGACATTTGTTCAAGTGCTTGCTCATGTCTGTTCCATTGTAGGGGTGTGTGCTTGCCCTATGCACTGGTGACAGGATTTTTTCCTCAGTGATATCCATAGGGGGCCAGCACTGGCACGTTATGCCAATGCACTAGTGTAAGGGGCACTGCTAACTCTCACCACTGTCAGTTCCTTCCTATTGCCAGATACTTTTTGCTGTAATTTGGCTTGTTCAGCAACAAGGAAACACAAAATAAATGGCTACCCATGTTCCAAAAGCAACCAAAGTAGAGAGGGTAGCACTAAATCACTTTACATGTCTAGGTAGTAAGATGTTCAGTGATGGTGGCACCATGCTAGATATCAAGGACTGAATATTAAGAGCAGCAGATAACTTTGAGAATCTGGAAAAGTGGTATGATTTACCACTAATACACAAGTATCTATTTTTAACACTGGCTTCATGTCTCTCATTCTTTATGGAGAAGAGTCATGGAAATGTATAATAGAAATTGATAACATCAACTTTGTTTGCAGACATTTACTTTGGAATATTTTCAGAGCTCAGTGAAGAGTTTTTTGCAGCATGAGAAATTAAAGAGAACCAATTAAATGTAAAATATCAAATATGGTGGGCATATTTAGCGAGCACTATAAGGATGCCATCAACACAACTTCCATGTCAAGTCATAATACGGACACTATCTGGAAAAAAGAAAAGGCAACCTGGACAACCATAACATGGAATAATGACGGAAGAAGCCAAAGTACATTAGCATGAACTCAGAAGCTTGAATAGGCCAGTGAAGACCAAATTAAATAGCAGAAACTGGTGGATGCTCTATGTTCCTAAGACTGCAGAAGGATGAAGAAAATATATTTGATGGAGAATATAGTGAAGTGGCTTTACAGATGATTACAGGGAGCTCCTCCAAAGCATAAAGGGCAACATTAGAGAAATCTTAAAAATGTTTGAAATTTTGACGAGTTGGTCAGAGAGACTAGCATTACAAATGCAAATAACCAGCATCTCCCTGAAAGCATTTTTGGGAACATGGGCATAACCTTCAGTTTGCACTTTTAATACTAATCTACATGTTATAATGGCTATTCTTTGTTTCAGCAGCACTAGAAGTCTCTTAAGACTTCAAGTATGCAAGAGGCAATAATATTTACAAAACTAAGAGTAGTAGATATATTCAAGGAAAAAAACGGTATATTAACATTTTTCAGGAAAAAAGGAAACCATTACATATGATGAATGGAACAGGAAGATTCAGGGGCACTTTGAAAAGCTGTTCTTTGTCTCTGAGAACCCAGAAGATCCTAATGAAAAACATCCAAATCTGGTTCACAAGCGTGGTATATACAAGGACAGCTATGGAGCTTCAAATCCTTGGTGTGACTACCAGCTCAGGCCAAATTTTACAATAGCAATGGTTGTGGTAAGTAGAAAAACATGTTTAATGTAACAGGTCTCTTTAATCCTTTTTTTATTTTAATTGAACTAAATTTTCATGAAAGTGATCATTTGCATGGGATATACCAGGAAGTATTGATTGTTCAGAATAAATTTGTATCTTTAATGGATAATGTATAGTGGCTTTTTGTTTCAGCATCAGCCCATCCAGAACTGCTTTCAAATTACTTGCATTGGTTAGCAGGCAGGTGTCACTTAGGATAAATATTTTTAAAAAGTTAGCGCCCTGCAAACCCATCTTCCATATAGAAAGTAACTAACAATCACTTTAAGAACAAAAGTTCAATATCTTTATGGAATTTGTGAGGCTCCCTGATACATTTTGTATCCATTATAAATGGTTGTAGCTTTCTCTGGAAGCATATTGAAAAGTAATAGAAATCTTTGAAATACACTATGCAGTTGGTTGATTTCATAAAACAATACTAATTTTTAAATCCAGAGTTCACTAATAAAATCTTTGTTGTTCTGCCAGGCCCCTGAGATATTTAGTCCTGAGAGAGCTTGGAAAGCTCTTGAGGTAGCGGAAGAAAAGCTGCTTGGCCCACTGGGCATGAAAACATTGGATCCAGAGTAAGCATATTAGAGTTTGTGCCGTATGCATAGTTGTATTCATAGAACCAAATTAACAGTAAGAAGTTTATTTAAATATCTGTTTAATTCATTAAGAAAACATCAAGAAATGCACTAAGTACAACACGGAACTTTATTTTAGTCATGATTTAGCTGTTCTAAAGGCAGTTGAGATACACTTAGTTATTTACAACAGCACCATTTTATTCACTGTTACTCTCGTTAGAAGTTGGTAATTTAATTTTCGGAAATATTTAATAAAACTGACTATGCAGTATTAGAAAAATGGCAGCCCATAAAATTTTAAGCAAAAGTTATAACAAAATTGTGACCAAAATACTGTAGTTATGGACTGAACACAGAGTTCTGTACTTGTAGTTCTGTAGTCCAAAGTATGAGTGCAGTAGGTCTTGTATAAACTAACCAATGAAGAATGTTAAGATAACTATAGAATAAAGACCAAGATATAATGGTCACTTTCTTCCTTACTGTCTCCCTTGAATTCACATAGGTAGTCTGTTGATCATATTACTGCAAGTTATTTCTCAAATAGAATTCATGGAATGCATTTCTTTTACTTTCTTACAGTGATATGGTTTACTGTGGAGTTTATGATAATGCTCTGGATAATGAAAACTACAATGTTGCGAAAGGTTTTAATTACCACCAAGGACCTGTAAGCTCTACAATTCCTGAATTTTACATTAAATTAAAACATTACATTAAATCTCAAATTGACAGACAGCTATCCTACTATCTCATTTCTTTTTGTTTAGGAATGGCTCTGGCCTATTGGCTATTTCCTTCGGGCAAAGTTGTACTTTTCCAAGTTAATTGGTCCAGAGACGTATGCAAAGACTGTATTTTTGATTAAGAATGTTCTCTCTCGCCATTATGTTCATCTTGAGAGGTAGGTCATCATACAGTTAAAAACATTAAACCAAATTAGTATAGTCCAATATCCTGTTGCATATAAATGATAAGCACACACAAGCTTTGTTCAATCTGTTTTGAGCATTTAAGAACTACAAATAAGCAACACTGATTTAGTGTCTTCTGAGCATAAGTCACTTCTATGCAGAATGCCATTTAAGTCCTGCATCAGCCTTCAAAATGGGCAAAACTTTGCTATGCTTTTGGGGGGAAGGGCAGTGATTGTAAAAGGGCAGGTATTAAATATTCCAGAAGTAAAACAAAGTGAGTGAGCAATTTTAAAACCCGTCATGGAGAAGAATAGATGGAAAACATGAAGAGAAAACAATAGAATTTGAGGTCTAAAAATTGCTAGACCGTTTATTAAAAAATGTGGTGCAGAGGAAAACATGCATGTGTACTTTTAAAAATAGATCTTTAGCAGTTTTCAGTCACACAACAAAAGCTGTTGGGTAGTTAATAACAGGTAAAACATAAAGGTTATGTCTACGCTATGACTGTGTCTACCTTGGCATCCCTTTCCGGAAAAGGGATGCTAATGAGACACTTTGGAATTGCAAATCCGCGGGGGATTTAAATATCCCCCGCGGCATTTGCATTTACATGGCTGCCGCTTTTTTCCGGCTCGGGGTTTTTGCCGGAGAAAAGCGCCAATCTAGACGCGATTCTCCGGAAAATAAGCCCTTTTCCGGAGGATCCCTTATTCCTACTTGAAAAGGAGAGCAGGGCTGACCAGGGGAGATTGGTGGAGGGCAGGGGGGAACCAGCAGCTGGAAGCAGGGTTGGATGGGGGCAGCTGGACTGGGGAGATCGGGAGGAGAAGGTGGGGGGGAGCGGGACTGACCCAGGCACATGAGTGAGTCCGGCCCAGGGATTCTATTGTGCCCCCCCATGTCCCCTTGAGTAGTTGCGAACTGTCTGGCTGGTAGACACATTCATGCAGCCTGAGCACATTTACCAGCCAGGCAGTTCAAAACTATAAATTGATAATCTAGTAATAATAAAACTTACCTAATGAGAAAATACCAGACATGTTATATGTTGGTTGGTAGACACACTCATGTAGCATGAGCAAATCTACCACCAGGCAGTTTGCAGCTAAGAACTGATACACCTAATTATAATAAAATATACCGAATTAGAAAATACCAGACATTTTATATGTCTGGTAATTTCTCAGTTTTTCCCAGACAAAACTCTCAAATACCAGACTGTCCGGTACAAAACAGACACCTGGAAACCCTCCCCTTCCTTGCACTCTCCCTCCTAGCCAGATACCCTACCCCCAATCTGCTCCTACCTCCTGGAGTGCCCATGCGGCGCTGGGTCCCCCAAGTCCTGGCCCAGACTGGGTGGAGGATGTAGCTGGGTGAAACGCTGAACATTTTTTTTTTTTTAAATATGTGTTTATATTTTTGGGCTGCAAAAAACAGTACTGGAAAAAAAAATGCGTTCTAACTAAAGTAAAAAGTTTGGGAAACCCTGATCTAACCAGCTTTCTATCCATCTTACAGTACATGTATCCAATCCATATTCCCTTAACTTGCTGGCAAGAATATTGTGGGTGACTGTATCAAAAGCTTTGCTAACGCTGGCACTGGGGGCTTTGGGAGGACCAGAAACAACTTATCTGAATATTAATGAATATGCAAATGAATGTTACTGGTCTTCCAAAAGTTCGTGAATGGATTTACTGGTCCCTGTGTCAAAAAGTTTGTGAACACCTGCCCTACAGTAAACATAGCCTTATCTAACCCCCCCTTGCCTTTTGTTCTATTCTCCACTTTTAGTCTTCCTCTGTTCTTCCTACAATATTTTCTATACTAGAGATGTTAGAAATCATTTAATTTTACTAATTGTCTAACAGCAACATTTTTTTTAGCAGTTTCACGGTGATTCCTAGGGGCAGGGCTGACAGCCAATGCGCTCCCCGGCCCCACTCCTGGGGAGTCCCTTGCCACACCGCACTGCTGCCTCTAACACAGAGGCAGCAGCATCTCCTCTCCAGGGGTGGGGGAGTGAGCTCCCTGTGGACAAAGGCTGCTCCAGCATCCCACTGAGCAGGGGCAGACTCCCCTTCAAGCTCTTTATTTACAACTTGGACTAGCAGGCTGGGACTGAGCCAGTCTGCCTGTCCAAGTTGTTAAATGCAGAGCACAGGACAAGGACCGTTAACTGTTCAACCGATCAGCAATTACTTATCAGTTATCCAGCTAGCCACTAACATCCCTACTCTCTATACTTGTTCTTCTCTACTACAATTCTGAATATTTCCCATTTTCACCCCTCCCAAAGCATTTCTAGATAAACAGAGATCCTTCAAAATGCCACCCCACTAGTTTAATGGATGGGAGACTTGATTGGACTTGCAACATGCTGGACAGCTTTAGAATAAAACAGGGCGGGGAGTGTTCTTCTTTCTCATGTGTGCCGTGCCAAGCCAAAGAAAGGTGGAAGCCAACTCACACCTTCCTCCCCACTATGATCAATTTCAGCTCTTGTCTGGGGTTTCTCAAGCCTCTTGCTCCATTTTATTTGAACACATTCTTTCTTTCTTGTAACTAGTTACGTAGTATGAGAACTTTGTTTGGGGATGTTGTGAGTCTGACAAATTGCCTGTTCGGGAGAAGGAAGCAGTTTTTCACATTGGGACCAAGTTAGCTGAGGCATGGCAAGATTTTTTTCATAGCAGCACTATGGCATAGTTTGCCTAGGAATAGTGCCTAATATTAGGAATTTGTAGGAATAGTTAATTCGTCATAATTTGCAGCTTTGCCCAGTGCATATGAAAGGCCAAAAGAACCAGCACCTAATAGTAAGAGATCTGGAATTTTGCTAGTAGACTTTCAAGTCTATGATGTCACTCTTTGGTACCTTCTGTGCGTGTCCAGCAAGGCAGAGTGAGAAGATTCAGTGAATCAATGTGAATTCTAAGGGTTGGTAAAAGAAAGCCTGATCTAAGTTACGGTCAATATCAAAGGGGCCTTGTATTGATAGTATTGTTAGTGTTTGAAGTGGCACCAGACTCGTTATTGCTATCTACTAGCTCTCTGAAGTTTATTTAAAACAACTAGACATACCATTTAATTTGGAAATCTTATAACAGCTTGCCATACTTTAATAAATAGCATGGATAAAGAACCAGTCAGACCAAAAAGAACTTTATGTGCATTCACAAAATCATGGTGATTGCATTATTTCAGTATTACTTTTTTAAAGCAATAAAAAAATTGCACTGCAAAGATACCTGTATTTCTCAGATTATAGAAGGCTCCTCCCAATGGAGTCTCAGGAAGTTCCTGCAACCTGCACGTGTTTTAGTATCACCATTTATCTTTTCATGTTAATACTCTCTCTTTATTTCACTACTTCAGTACTTTTGTAGTATTTTCATTGTGTTTGGTATTTTTTGTACTTTTGGCTCAATAGACTTATACTTCTATGATTATACTTCTAAAATATTTTAGAAGAGAAATATTTTAATTTAATGTTTTATGATGGGATTTTTTTCTCTCTTCTGTTTTCCAGGTCTTCCTGGAAGGGGCTTCCAGAGCTGACCAATGAAAATGGGCAATATTGTTCATTCAGCTGTGAATCACAAGCCTGGTCAATTGCAGTTATCCTTGAGGTTCTTTATGACCTGTAAATGTTGGCTTTGATACTTGGTAAAATTTGCTATGTACTTACAGGTACAAATGAACAGCTTGCTCATACTGTAGGAAAAAATGTTTTGCACAGTCACTTAAACAACTGTGGCCTGATATTTCAATGGTGCTTAATATCTGTATCATCCATTCACTGAAGAGGAATATGGGTGCTCTTTAGCTTCTGAAAAGGCCATGAGTATTAATATATATAAATTGGATATAGAAAAACCTCTAAAGCAACACCTTACAGAATGTACACAAGTGCATTTAAAATAGCTTTTGATTTATAAACATATTAAATTAGGTGTTAGAAGTCTGAATTGTCTAATTCCAAATCTAGAATATGAATGCCAAATGGTTCCAGAAATCTGAGTTGAAACTTTTTCATACTTTGTCAGTAGATGCGGTGCATACTCATCATGGGGGGAGAATAGATTGGACTGTAGGTAGTAGTGTGTATTTATGGTTGTGCATTTCATAGCCTACGCTGTCATTACGGTTTTTGTCCCTCTATGCTGAACTGTGTGGCTTTTCCTAACAACTTATTTTCTTCCATGTTCAAATGAATGGTCCATTAAAATAAAAGTTCTCACTCTTTACAGATAATATAGTAAATTAATCTTATGAAGATGCATTTAATATCTTCAGAAACTTTAAATGAAATTTGAAAACTAATTCTAAACAATGACATGAATATATCCTGAGTGAGATCATTCATAAGTGACTTTTTGAGTTGTGAACCGTATGGTCAAACTTTATTTTGTTAATATAGTTTGGTTTAAAATAACATACATCTGTCAACAAATGTGTTCGTCTCATAGGAAATCAGAAGAAACACTTTATCATCAATACCCTGTGCATAAATCAGGTGAGGTCAAATGATCCAGGAGACCACTGGATTAGATGCTGATTTAATGAACTTTCTTCATTGGGTTTGAAATTCTGGTTTTATCAAAGACAATTGAAAAACTCTTTGACTTCAGTAGGGTCATTGTTTCAACCCAGTTGCAGAAAAGAGGCAGTCTAGCACCACATCTGAAGACTTTGGAGCTCAATAAGGCACCTGCCTTTTGCTTTCTTCCCTTAAATGTTACTTTCATAAGAGCATGCCTTTAACTGAGCTCAACCCAGTCTTTTAAAAAAATTACAGTAGGTGTGTGAGGTGGGAAATGTATCAATTTGAATTTTCTGCTGGTCCCGAAAGTAATGAATAGGCAACAGCTAGATTGACCAGTAATATCCTCAACATCACAGAAGGAAGTGCAGCACTGCATTGTGGAAGAAATGGGCTGACAATAGAGATTAAAAATAGAAACCTGTCCTACCTATTATTTTTGCCATTCATATATTTACATTCAACAAATTGAAAATGTGGTATGTCCCTGATCCAGCACCCTTGTGACCTGACCCGTCCCGAATGAGTGAATTTACAAGATCAGAGAGGTCCCCTGCTACCGGCTTCCCAGGACACTGCCCTTCCCACCTCCTGGCTCTGCTCTTCTGCCAGCTGGCTGGGGCTCTCCGGAAACAGAGTTCCCCAGCCACAGCTGCCCCATTTCTGTCCCACCCATCCAGGGCTTCCCAGGGCTCCACAGCTGCCCTGCTGTGCCATGCCCAGCTGGGGCTCACCAGTTCCAATGGTGGAGCTTTCTCACTGCTGGACTCCTCACTGGCTTGCACTCTTGGGCGCCAGAGCGTCCTGGATTTAGGAGATTCAACCTGTACTTCACATTGATTACAGTTGAACTACTTTGCAGATCACCTGATCATATTCACGTTTATATTTAACCGCTATGTTGTTTGTGGCATGTGTTCGTTTGGGTACATGAAGCACTGTCATGTTTTCTCTACATAGAGTTCAGTTGAATGGAATTCATAGTCTAGAAATTCTTTATAGGTTGCTCTGTAAAACTATCTTCAAATTGGAAAGGTGTTTGAAGAGTTGTGATTATTATTGGGATTATATTGATTTCAATCTATTTAGAACAATCTCTAAATGTAAGGAATATCTGGGAGAAATGATGCTTCAAAACTTTCCATTCTGTCATGGCTAACTTTTAAAATAATTGTGAATTGCACTGTTGGCATGAACACTGTACCAATGTCTCATTGCTAGCTTATTTTTAACTTAATATTAAAATATTTAAAAAGAAAATCACAAATGTACACAGATATATACATATATGCTAATTATGAATTTTGAGAATAGATAGGTTTAAAATGCTACTTCTGCACTCATTAACTGAATGGAGTTCTAGTGACAAACATATTTTTAAGACTAAAGTAGGTACAATAATATATTTTATGGGCTAGTTTTGTCCATAGAAACAAGAACATTTAGATTTTAAAATTACCTCTATCTTTGTTGCTTTGTTGATCTTAAATATTTTTGGTCAGACTGGCCAACTTAAGAATGAAGTGAGGATGTCATAGTCAAAATTTCTTGAATTTTCCTCTGAACACATTTAAAATAGCTAGTATGATTTAAATTTAATGTTGGGGTGGAGGAAAGAGAAGAGTTGTTAATGTAATATTTTATTTGTGTGATGGGCTTCAGTACCAAGTAAATTGTATACAACCAAAATCTCAACACGTTTAAAATTAGCTGGTTGTAATTTAGAAAAGTTGACGGATCCTGAACCATAGTGACACGCTCACTGTTATATAATATACTGTAAAATGTAATCACTCAAACTTATGGTCAGTGAAATACTTATTTTTGTAGGTAAACCAAATAGCATCTCTGTACCTATATGTGCCAATCTTGTTTCTTGATTTGTATGCTGTGGTGTATAAACTCTAGTATTGCTTCACCAGATCTTATTTGTCCATTCAGTCAGTGTGCATTATTTCATTCATTTAATAGGTTTTTACTGATTAAAATGAATAATTTGAGAACATTTAAAACAAGTTACTGTATGTTGTAATATAAAATAAAAAGATTTGGGTCTGTCTAGCATAGCAACTGCTGAATTTAGAAAAATGTAATGTTTGTGATCAGCATAAAATAAAAGTGTTTAACAAAGCTTTGTTTTTCTTTCTCGCTGTAGATCATCAACAGTAAGTTTTAAATCTTAGGTTTTTACTGGAAAATCTCATACAATTGGTTTTTGCAAATCATGAAATCTTCTTAGCAGAAATGAACTGCTTATTCCCATTGTTTAAACTGAAGATAAAAAGTATCGTTCTGTAGTTCACACATGGTAGTATAAAATAGCTAGCTAATTTTGACCATGACACCTATGTACTCAACTGCTTTGTCTGAATCCAGATACTTTAAATTGAAACAACACTATTACAAATTACCAAAAATCAGAGGGTCACAGTCTATAACACAGGGTGATGCTATACAGTCCACCATGTAATTTTTGCTCTGTGAAGTCTCAAGTGGTAGATGATGATGTTGAACTTCAGTTCTTTTGCCAGGGAAGAAATTACTTAGGCATGAGCTTTTGACCATTAAAATGAGGTGTAGTTATTGTGTGGCTGGTTGAAGTGACCACTCTGCACCCTTAAGAGGAAGAGAGGCTGGCTGGCTGGGTCAATGCTTTATGGTGGGAGAGATGAAAAGTGATGCAAAAGTGGTCACTGCTTCATGCCCTAGGAATGCTGAGTGTAAAAGAGGGAAACCTGTACCTGAAGCCTACCTTTCACATGCAGCAAGCTGAAGCAGGAGGCAACACAGCACATCTCAGCCATGTGGCTCTACATAAAAGCAAAAGTCATCCCCCTTCCCCTAGCTGGGATAGGGTAAAGCAGGCACTGCACAGTAGCACTACACCATGAAGTAGGATATAGCTGGTTAGGCAACCTGTCAGGACCAAGTGTGAGGGCATGAAGGGTCACATACCTTCCACCTTTGGAGGGTAAGGGGCCAGCAAGCAGAGCTCAGTTTGCCAGTCACCTGGACCACATTTTGGGGGCTCCTATTCAGAAGGTTTAATTGTGGTTATCTGGCTAATTTGTAATTGATATAAATTGTATTGACTAAACTGCCCAATTGTTAAGGACTGCGCTGCAGAGAGTAGCCCCAGGAGCCAGCTCAAGCTGGGACTGAGCAGTCCTGGCTCATGCTGGATCCAGAAGCTACCCGTGCTGCAGCTGTACATTTTAAATATAGTAAGAGTTGCTGGGTTCTTACTACATTTAAAATGCAGAGGCTCAGTGTCCCAGACCCGGACCCAGACTTGTCCACCACAACCGGGTTGCTGTGGGCTGATAATCAGAGCAGCTTCTGGTCACCATAGCCAGGGTTGGCCATGGACAGGAGCTGTTGCCTCTTAGTGCTGCCTGCCCCCCTGATGCCTCTTTGACTCCTGTTTTAACTGCCTCTCATAGAGGCGGCAAGGGGTGAAGGGGAACAGAGTAGTCAATATTCCTGTCGACTACTTGCTAATATTCCTAGGCCCTTTAAGGGGCAGGCACCAGAGAGAACCTGGCAGTAGCAGTAGGGGTTAACCTCCACTCCCACATTTATCAGTGACTGCAGGAAGCAAACTGACATGGCCTCCTCCTGCTTTGCTTCCATAGCTGCATCATTCCACTTCCTGCTGCCCCTGAGCACAGGCAATGGTTCTGCCCAATCCCCCAAGCAGGCAGCCTGGTGCAGGTTGCTGGGTGCCCCTGCATTCACCAGCAACAGAAACCAGAGCAGTGCAGCTAGGAGCCAGAGTAGCAGAGCAGACTTGGGCCTGTGTTGCTCCGCTTCTGCCACCAGTGAATGGGGGTAAGCTCCCCAGCTCTGCTTCCAGTGTCAGCCCTTCCCTCCTGCTACTAATCCTCTGGGTTGCATCAAGTAGGGGAAAGGGGTCTTGGGGAAGGGATGGAATGGTGGCAGGGCAGAGCAGAGCAGGGGTGGGAAGAGGCCACAACAGTAAGGAAAAAGCATTTGGGTAAATCAGGTGTCACCCACAGGTTGGAAAGAGCTCCATTTCCAGTTCAGCTTGAAAAGTTAGTGGCTCAATTAGAAGTGCCTTAATGAAGGGGAGAGGGGAGACAACACTTCTGTGGATTTAGAATTCTGTCTAGGGGATTATAAAAATACACAGTCAAACAAAAACACTGAGTCACAGGTGTGGTACAGTATGTGCTGGTATATAAAATTAAAGGTCAGAGGTGTGGTTGGGCTTTCTGGTTTAAACAAACAAAAAAAATCCCCAGGAATGAATTGAGAGCAGGATTAGCAGGTCCTTTCCCACAATGGCCTACACCTAACTTGCAGGTTTATTGCCTAGGGTTTGGTCCTCAGGCTCCAAGGCAGTATCCCATTACTTTATTATCTTTCCTGGGTTTACACTGGCATAGCAGATGCCCTGCCTCACTTTTACATAACAGGTTTCCGAAGCTGGCAACAAGAGCTGGTAAAGAACCTGAGTGACTTCCACTACAGGTTGAATCTTTCTAGTCCGGCACCCTCAGGACCTGACCGGTGCCAAACCAGAGAATGTTCTGAATCACAGGATGTCAGCATGGAGAGCCCTTGTCTTTTGGATGGCAGTGCTATGGGACAAGCCTTAACAAATTCATGCCATTACAGGTGCATGGAATTATAGGTAATCTATTTACTGGTCTGTCTCAACAGTCTTGGAATCATCTCATTCCTGTTAGACTTCTCAGTGGGCTAAGTGGCTATGCATATCTACACAGTAGTCTTAAAGGTTGCTGGCAGAATGGTTGTATTCCACTGGCCCCATCCAGAAGTCAGGTGGGCAGATCATCTCAGGAATTCAAATAGCCTTGCCCAGAAAAAGCATTCTTAAGCAATTTTGTACTTTCAGGATCAGTGAGCTAATTCATGGGTTATGTAGGGGCACTGTTGAAGGGGAGCTTGGAACTGTGTAATGTATTCCTGCTTGCACCTCTTGGTATACTAAATGGGATTATGAACAACAGTCAAGGAGACTGAGTTGCATTTATCTTGCAGAAAGGCTGTGAGCTTGTTGCTGCTCTATGGCATTTGGTTCTCAGTCATTCACAGACAGGGGCTACAGCAGCTGCGTACAGAGGTACAGGCAATTCTGACAATTGGGTGTTGGCATTCGGAAGCATCCAATATATGTGCAACCTCAGGTGCTCAGTTGCCAATAATGTGATAGTGTTTCGTTCCACACAGTGGCAGGCCATCTATGGATGCATTGGTGTGGATCTGTGGGTCCAGGATTGTTTGTCTTATGCATGTCTTATGGCCTTATAGGTTGTCAAATGGGGTCCAGTGGTGGGGCAAGTCTGCATTGGCAAAGGAGGAGGATTTGGTCATGCCACTGCTCATGATGAGAGGGGCCTGTTAGCAGTCACCCACAGTGTGGGACAAATATTGGAGAACTCTGACTGGGAAATGTGCACAAGAGTTCAGTGCAGTTACTGCCCAGAACCAGAAAAGGGGTGTGGGGTTTGGAGAGGGCTAATTCTGATCTGTGTTGTCAGATATTCATTCACACAGGGGTCTGGCCAGCAAAAGTGGATCATCACCAAGGTGGACAAAGCTCAACAGAGTCTAGTGGGAAGTGGTCAAACCCCTTGTGGTCATAAAAGGCTCTGCAATTTGGGCATCCTAAGGCACCAAATTATTCAGGGAGGATGGGGTTCCCCTGTAAAGCTTTACAGTCCACTTATTTTGGACAACATAAAATGGGGTAGTAAGAGATGTCTGAGACCCTGACTGGATTTGAGGGGAAGCAGCCAAGCTAATGGCTGTGCTTCTTTGTGGTGAGTGCTTAGTGCAAATACTCCATAGGAAAGGCAAGGGCCTTTTGCACAAAAAGAAGCAGTGCAGCTGCCTCCATTTTGCTCAAAAACCCCATTTTGCGCAAGATCCTTATGCCTTTCTGGGGTTTTTGCACAAAATGGAGGCGGCTACAGTGCTTCTATTTGCGCAAAAACCCCTTGTGCAAAAAGAAATGGCAGAAAATATGCTAATGATATTGCAACTTATGCTAATTAGTCCCTCATTAGCATATTTTCTGCCATAATAACTAGCAGTGTAGACAAAGCCTAACACAGCTACCCCTCTGAGACTTTATACTCATTTAAAGTCACATAATGTTCCATTATAATATTGTCTGGCTTCCCCTGCCCACCTGCTCAGCTTTCCAGATGTGCTTTCTTATGTGCTGATATTTTCAGGTAACATTTATTAATGCATTCACTACAGACTCTCGGTATATCTGGAAATAGTGTTTCATAAATAATATCACTTTGCAGTTGAACAGAGGATACATGCAAGGAAAAACTTAATGTAAGAACAGGATCACTTATGAATGGATGATTGGAATCTTGAAAGTTTTTGGTGCTGCAAAAGCATTTTACTTAGTTAAGGCCCCCCCTTTCCCTCATCCTATATAAAAGAGCAAGGAAAATTACTCAAAAAACCCTATGAGGCATTAATATATTCCCAGACTCCCTATAGTGAGTTATTTTCTTGTAGTTGGCACTACATGTGGTGATATTAATCTTAGATTTTGATAGAAATGCTACTTATAAAACATGCCCCAAAAATCCGTGTTTAAGCTGATGAAATAACTCCGCAAATTCAATTTGATGAGCTTTAACTGTAATAGGGACATCACACAATTTACTTAGAGTGCTCAGAAATTTCTGATTGTTTTAGTCAAGTTTTCAAAATTTTGACATTATTGATAATTATGTTACTTGGTCTACTTAGCCCTTTTTCAATTGACAATACATCCCTCATTTCAGCTGGGGAATGTTCAGTTGGATCGGCAGGGGAAAGACCTGCTCTGAAGAGGCTATTGGAAGAGAGAGGGGAGAGCTGATTCTCTCATGCCCCAGTCTTGTATATTATACCCTCAGGGGGGACAGCTGCCATTTTGTTATGGTTGTTGCCACTTTCCCTGTACAATAGAGGTATAGTTTGAGCTGTTTCATTAAAATGCTGCAGGTTTGACCAATCACTAGTGTTCAGAATAGCTGTACTGCCAAAGATCCTTAGTGTAGATTCTGCTTGTACCACCAGCAGGAACTGTTTAACTAGATCAGTGAAACCACTATTAGCCATACC